TGCTGCTCCGACTCCTCCTTCTCCTCCTCCTCACCGCCGGGATTGAGGCCCATCCGGCGACGTTCCGGATCCAACAAGGGCTACTTGCCTGCCTGCCTACCTCTAGGCGCGCTAACATCGCGCGCGTTCATTGTCTGTCTGGTAGGATATGAAATCATGCAAGCAATAGGAAGGTGGAATCATAACCAACCATCACCCACCTGGAGATCTGTGCTCAATCACGCTGTACTTGAACCTCTCCGTTGCTGATGTGATTTTTAATTCCACACGGGCGTCCTAAAATTTCTCAACTGGGCCCAAATAAAATGTCGTTTATGTCAAGGTCCCCTTCTAATTTCTGTTAATTATTTTTGGCAAGTTTGAAAATAAAGCATACTCTTAACAGTTCAGTCTGACTTAAACTTAAGCTGAGGATTTGAACTATCAGGGCTACACACCAGCAGCTCTCCTTTGTTAACGTGTTTTGTTCTCCACTTGTGCTTGTGCAGTGGCAGAATGGCTCGTGAGATACTGCTGCGCCGGTGTTGATCACGTTGTAGTTCTTTTTGAGGTTAGTGGTGGGGGTGATTGTTGTGCTAATAGCCATAGCAGTATTAGTCGTAGTAGTATTAGTACAAGTAATGGTGGTCAGGCCTAGTGGAATTCTAGGGCAGACACACTTCCTGTTAAGCTAGATGTTGGCTACACGGCGCGCCCAGAAGTGACCAATAGTGGAAGGACTTTCGATGAAGGCTAGCTGTGAAATAAGCAGACCTGTATTGTCCTTACCTCTACCCTGCTTCTAAAGCGCACATACCTACAGTCGACCGTCGTCTTCGACGATATCCACTACGAGCTTAAACGAGGTGAAGCAACACGCTGATTATCACAAGATATAGACCAAGGCAAACGCCCGGAGAATTTAGCTTTATCACTGAGCACTCCCACAAAAGGAACCGGTTGTGAATTCAGTGTCAAGAAGGCCGGAGATACGGAAGCGGTGGGGCCCAGACGGCGATACCAACACTTCACATGCTTACCTATCCTTTTTAAAGTCTTCTGTTCTCCAACCTCTCTTTCCCAATTTAGGCGCTCGCTCTTCTGGCAAAGAAATTTGCCGCATTGCAATCAGGAAGGGCCGAACTTTCTTCTTTAAAACGCAGTCTTCGAAAGCTCAAAGACCATCAGATGGCCCGCAAGCAGCCGCTCACTACAGAGGTCGCCTCCGTGACCGACCAACTGCTCGCTGTGAGTGACTGTGCGCTTGAAAGAGCCAAACTTCTGGTCATTTCATCTTTTTCTGAGCAGAAATCGCTGTTGGAAAAACTGGGAAAGGATCTCATGCATCTCATGAATAGTCTCCCCAGTCTAAAGAAAACGGCTTCCTATATACAACAGAAAAAGGTAAGGGCAATTTCATTTGCCAAAGTTTTCTGCCCCAACCCCATTCGGTATTTTTGGACGAACATTCTTGAGTTAGTGGTAGTGATAATAGTAGTATCGGTAGTAGTTATTATGGCGGTATTAGTAATGACGATAATTAAATAGCTGTCCTTTTGTACTTATAATCTCTTCCAAAATTCCAAACTTTGAACCTTAAACTGTAGTGTTATGTGTATAAGTGTTTCGCGTAACCACAAGAGTTCATAGTTTTAAAGTTTAAATTATCTAAAATGAGCCATTAATGCTTACCTTCAGCAGTGAACTAATCAAAGTTGGGTCAATTTAGCCACCCAATCTACGGTGAGCCACGTTGTTCAATGAGAGTGTTTTTGCTGCGCACAAGAACTGTCTGCTGTGTGGCTACGACTTCCACCGAGGCCACGAGTTTTTAGCACTTGGGTGAACTGCACTGCCGGGTAAGACGCGTGTGGTGTCATTTCTAGGTTAGATGATTTCAGAGAAGTTAGAAATAAGAGCAAGTTTCAGTGGGATGGAATAGAGAAACCTTGCTGGAAACATTGTTGTGTTTCTCTTGGAAAACCTCGGATAACCGACATGTCGGCCGTCGGATCTACATTAAAGTACCAAACAGCAGGTGGTCCGTATCCAGGCTTCGTGGTTGCCACTTGCCGGACGCGTCGGTTTAAGCGGTGGTCATTTTGTGGGCGTTCATAAAGATACATGAAAACGAGATTAAGGTTAATGCACCCTAAGGCTACTCTCACTATAATGCAGTGGAACTCACCGTCATTGCAGTACATTTTGGTAGAACATACGGTGGACATATTCGTTATCCAAGGTAGGGCTATTGTCTGATGTTTTCCTGATTTTATCAAGTGCTTTCAGAGCTTTTGATGTATTGTTTTGGCTGTAGTATAAACCACGAGTGCGCATAAATTCGCCAGTTTATACTAATAGCTGTGTTTCTTTTGGAAAACGTCAGATGGCAGTTTGTTTCCGAAAAACCACAAATGATATACCATTTTCAATGATGAGCCATGCCTCAGGAGGTTTTTCACTGTCTGCTCGTCTTGTTTATTTACACTGCTGGCTCGTGTTACTTAACATTACCGCATGTGAGCGTATTACTTGAAACAAACAAGTAGTCGTCTACAATTGTGTCAACGACTTCTTTGAAATGTTCGGCTGTGCTGGTGCATTACTTAAATAATATGAACCAAGAGAAAGTTCAAAGGCGTTTGCCTTTATTCCATTTCATAAACTTGACTTGACCTTAGTGTCGGCAGTTGAACCTGCATTGGAGAGCGAGCCTTCGAGTAAGCCTTATCAAAACTTCTAGAATACCAATTGCATGATATTGGCTGTAGTATGCACTAAGGGTTTCCATGTAACACTCAGTCGGGAAACTGGATGCATGTATGCTAGCGCGATTTGTGCGCC